ATATATATATAATATATTTAGTAAACAGTGAAATATTCAATTTTTTCAAATTATCTCGAAAAACAAAAAAGATTTTTTTGGTAATTATCGATTAAGCCCCCATCCTCGGAATTAACCAACATTTGGAATATTAATTTAATGCCGGAAACAAGTAGATTGACATATTGACGCCAGTAAATTGTAAATCGGTAAGTTTTTTTATGCATACAAACTTTAACCTTAAAAGAGTATATAAGTACGAGTATAATACACAAAGTAATCTTCTTTTCCCATGTAAGTAAGCTTATATAGCATAAAAATAATAATAGTGTAACCATTGCGCAATGTTTGCGAGTGCGACTGTGCGTCCGGCATTGACACCTATATTATATACCTATAGTCTATTACTGCTCCAAAATGTAAATTCATGAATGAAAAATTAAATTACTTTTCGATCTAACCGCGTTGTTGCATGATTCGGCGTTAAGAGTTTAGATTTTTCGCTACTTTGGTAATAATCAACGTTAGTCGAGTACTTGATTCGTTACTGCAAACATGTCGAAAGTAGCTGAGTTTATTAAAGTGCTGTACGACGCGACCGCCAAGTCGAACACGTTCGGTCGTCTGCTAAAAAATGTTGGTTTTTTATCATTGTCGCAGTTGTTGAATTTGGCTGTACCTACTTAATGACAAATGAGTGGTATAAGTGTGACACCACTTTTTTTTACAAAAACCTATATTTTCAGGTACAACTCATATCAGCTGAAAATGGAAAGTGCAAAGCTGAATTTGAAGTTGCAGAGGAACACTTGAACTATGCAGGTACACTGCACGGCGGTTGCACAAGTACTCTTGTTGACTGTATTTCCACTTATGCTCTTATGAGTTACAAAGATAAAGGGCTTCCTGGAGTATCCGTGGATTTGCATGTTACGTAAGTGTTGCAGTAAAACTCGGGTTTGTGTGTTTTTCTGAGATATTTTATTAAGAAACTGAAATACTTGTATACAAATGGCACAGATTCTTGAAAGCGGCATTTCCTGGAGACGTGATTTTAATCGATGCCAAGACTATAAAAGCCGGCAGGACTATGGCTTTTCTCGAGGTAGAGCTTACCAAAAAAAAGGACGGCGCTATCGTAGCTAGAGGGATTCATACAAAGTTTATTGGTGGAAAATGAGTTGTTGCTTGTTTTTGAAAAGTGGCCACCATGTGTACATATAGCGTATACCTTCATGCGGTCGTATGCGGTAATTAATTTATTTGTTAAAAAAAAAAAAAAAAAAGAATAATACATAATTCCAAAGACTAAAAACAAAAATAATCTCAACTGAGGTTTCGTTGCTATAATTTTATATGGCCTGAGTCTCAATGTGTTATAACCTATTTGTTCTACATCAGTTTGAGTCACGAGATTTTATTTGCTCACTAGAATTCAATGACAGCTCGATGCTAATTCAACAATAATAGTAAAAACGCTGATAGTTTACAATAAACAAATTCAAGGCTAAAGTACAAGGTTTGCTGTCCAATCTTCAAACGACACTCTTCATCTCGTCGAGCAGATGCTTCATTTCTTCGATTCTGGTGCTCAAGTCGCTCAAGACCCTACTAACTCTGGCATACTCCTCGCTCGCGCTATCCAGCATCTCCTCGACTCTCTTAATCTTCTTTCGCACCTCGTCCTCTCGACCCTTCAGACCGTAATGACCGTTCGCGGTAGCTGAGTACTTTGCCGCGTTTCTCCTCGACCTAGAGATCGCGTTGCTTTCGTCCGCCTGCTCTATGCACTCTTCGCAGCACTCTGACCACGGGTGCAAGTCGATTTCGGGTATTTCCCCGCAGGAGACGAAACTGTTGTCTCCATCCGGCAGTAAAAAGACGTCCCTCTGCACGCGAGTGATGTTGTCGGCGTTGTCGCAGATGATCCTCGCCAGGCTCGTTTTCCTTATTTGCCTGAGCTGCTCGGGCTGAAAAACCACGGGGTTCTCCAGCCAGAACCTGTCCCCGTCTCTCATTCGTTTGAACTGCTCCCTCAATAGACACTTGAAAAGCGGCCCGACTTTTGCATCGGGCACTTGATCCTCGAGGATTCCGCCAACCCAGACGTCGATGTTTCCAGGATGCCCATAGAGCTCGCGCAGCTTATTCCGAACGTGCAAGCTGCTTATTTCACCCCTAAGATCGTCAAACGTCTCGACCTCGGACATGTTGCAGTATCGCCGCCAATCGACGTACGATGGAAGGGCGTGGTCCCGACCTCTCTGGATGTTCATCGACGCCAAGTCCAAAGCCACCGCGTGAGCCGTGCGGAACAACTGCTCCGTAAGTTCGGAGTTCAGATTCTGCTCGGGCCTCTTGAGCTTGGCTGGAGTGGCGAACATTCCTCGCAACAAAGGATCCGTGCCACCTTCGTCGACCAACCGCCAGGGCGCGAAAAAAGCGTCCCTCAAGTGCAACGGTCCTTGGGGTGTCGGTTGCATATCCTCACCCAAGCGCTCCAGTTTTGGCTGAATCAGGGAGTGTCCGAAGCGAAGAGCTGCGGTAGCGAACACGTTGGCAATACTCGCGTCCACGTTTTTGTCGTAGCCTCGATACGCGCCGAAAAGCTCGTCCGAAGTATCTCCCAGCACTCGAGGAATCCAGTCTCTGTACGTGATAACTTGCATCTGCAAACACGCGCGGACAAAGGTAAATAAAAAAAAAAACAAAAAAAAAACGATTTTTCCACCTAAAATAAAAGCACCAGCATTGTGTACAATACCTGGGCGCCAACAATCTTCCTCGCCTCCTGGTACAGCTTTTCTCCCCTCCAGTGGGGATTGATCAGATGTAGCTTTCTGGCGATGCGGTTGTGCTCCCTCATCCAGACGGTGTGCACGACCGTGAGGCCGATCTGCTCGTTGACCCTAAAATCACCGGCCAAGAAGCAATTGACCGAGCTCTCGCTGACGTTCCGCCGACAGTCGATAAACTGGCCGTTGGCAAAGGGTAACAGGGCCTTCCGGCCGGGAAAACTCGGTCCCTCGAGCAACAGTCCGAGATCGGTGGTGAAATCGCGGAGATCGCGAGCCACGTTGTCGTCGTAGCCGTAAACCTGCGAGGCGTCCAAATAGCTCGTCAATTGGTTCAATTGTTCCCGAGGCGTGAGCTTGCCCCACAGGATGCTCGTCATACCCGACCCTGAAAGCGCACGTTGTCCATATTACATCCATTTTTAATTCGAGCAAAACGATACGACTATAATCCCAATCTGCTTTACCGACCGCACACAGCGCTCGTCCTAAAGAAATCGATGCACCTCCGGTTCTTGATCCTCGGATCGCCAGGCGGCACTTCCATCGGGAAGCAGGGAGCTGCGTTGTCGCAGGACTTTTTGCAGTCTATGCCACCCCAGGACTCGCTCGACACTGCGGGTAGAGCGTGGTCAAAGTCGTGGTCTATCCACTGGCCCCATTGCATGACCAAGTGCGTAATACGATCATCGGAGGTGATGTCCTCGCTGACAATGAGACTCGTTGAGACCAGCCGAGCCGCCGGCTTGGTATGGCCGTGATAGAGTCGCGACCTGTCCCAGCCCACCGGCTGCGAGAAGCCGTTCTCGTAGATCGGCCGGAGAATCCGGCGGAAGCCCGTGTACGAGGAGCCCCACGTTGGATGCTCCAGGTTGTTGCATTTGCCGTCGATCGTCCGGTAGCGGTTGTGGTAGCAGAGATTCAGGCACTCCTCGCCGTGCCTGTGCGACGTGCAGCCCGACAACTTTTCCAGCTCGACCAGCTGTAATTTTCATTAATTTTCTTCTTTTTTTTTTTTTATCTCCACCCAAGAGCCTACAGTAAAATACTCTACGTATCGCTATTGCATATGTATACCTGCTCGTGCGTCAGGAGCTCCTCGTACGTGAAATCGTCGGTCGCGTTGGCAAAAGTCCCGGACTCGACCATCCGGCGCACGTGGAGGAGCGTGCGCTCGAACAGCTCGGCCGGCCGGGCGGCTCTTCTGGCCACCGCGTCGGGAAACCGGGACAAATGGAAGGGATTCGAGGACCGCGAGGCCGGGTTGAACAGCTGCTCGAGCGTGTTGTTGATGGCCCGGTCGATTTCGCGCGTCGCCTCCTCGAAGGCCCTCAGCACCAGGCCCTCGTTCGAGTCCGGCCGGCGCACCCGCACCAGCGCCGAGGCCGTCGCTCGGCCGTGCTCGTTGACTGCCCTGCACTCGTACCTGAAAAACACACATTAATACTCATCGTTTTGTTTTTCAAACAAACAAACATGCACACCATTTCCAAAGTAAAAGAGAGAAAGGCACCTCACCTGCCGACGTCTCGCTCGGTAACGTTGTACAGGTACAGACTGCCGTGCTTCGAGACGCGGGTCCTGTTGCCCTCGAGGGCGCTGCCGTCCTTCCTCCAGGATACCTTGGGCCGCGGCTGTCCCTCGGCTCTACAGGCCAACTCGACGATGGCTCCGAGCTCGACCTCCATGTCCTGGGGCTGGTAGGTCAGCCTCGGGGGGTGGTGCTCCTCGCCGACCACGCTAAGATCGGCGCTCGTCTCGGCGTAGCCGTGCGAGTTGCGCGCCTGGCACACGTAGCGCGCCGAGTCCGCCTCCTTGGCCGCCAGGATCTTCAAACTCGAGCCGGCGTCCTCCACCTGGTACCTGCCGCGCGTGTGCACCCGCGCCCCGTCGCGCCACCACTCGATCCGGCTGCTCGGCTGGGTCTCGACGGCGCGGCACACCATCACCACGTCCATGCCCGCGTGGACCTACATGTAACAATTATCACCGTTGAACACACACCTGGTCCACCTTCCTCGTTGGATGGATTATTATTTCAATAAACAACGACCCACCGTCTGCGACCTCGGGGTCTCGACGAAGCGCGGGGCCTGCGACGACGAGACGATGAGGGTCCTGGCGGCGCGCGACTTTGTGTACCCCATGCCGTTGTGGGCCACGCACTCGTACTCGCCGGCGTCGCTTTCGGTAACTTGGCTGATGACGAGGCTGCCGTCGACCGCCAGCTGGTAACGCTCGTCCTCCACGGGTATCTCGTTCGAGTCCCGCATCCACGTGATGCTCGGCTGCGGGTCGCCACCCGCCCTGCACCGGAATATCGCCGTCTCGCCCAGCTGCACCTCCATATCCTCCGGACCCTCCATTATTACCGGCCTACCTGCAGGAGTACATGGGTACTTTTTTTTTTTTTTTTTTTTTGTTTTTTTTTTCCAGAGGTATTGGGATAAAGTAGTCATCAGCGTCACTAAACTGCAGTGAAAGTCCTCGGGCGTCATGTCGTCGAGGCGCTTGCCCTCCATCTCCCGGGGGCCCCGGCACACGGCCGGCATCTCGACGCGCTCCTTCATCCTCTCGACCAGCCAGAGTATCTCGCAGTCGCAGATGAGGGCGTTGCTGTCCAGCCGGAGTTTTGCGTTGTGCCCGATATTCCTGAACGCCTCGGCCGGCAGCCGCTCGAGCCGGTTGTTCTGCAGGAAGAGGCGCTCGAGCCTGGGAAGGTCGTCGAAGGTGCCGGGCAGGATCTCGCGCAGCTGGTTCTGGTGGAGGAAGAGCTGCTCGAGCCTGGGGAGGTCGGCAAAGGCCCCGGGCTCGATGGACTCGAGGTCGTTCTTGTAGAGGTAGACGTAGCGCAGGCCCGGCGCGCCCGCAAACACCGAGGCCGGCAGGTGGCGGAGATGGTTGTCGTTCAGCATCAGCGTGTGCAGCCGGGACAGCCCGCGAAAATCGCCCGCTCGCAGCTCTACGATGTCGTTGAAGCGCAGGTCCCTGCGTGTCATAAATGATGGCGGGTGAGGTGCAAATTTTGGATCGAAACATTTGTACAACGACGGATAAAACGAAGAAAAAAAAAAAAAAAAAAAAAAAAAAGTAGATGAAACATCAAAGCGGAACAGTAACGATCGCCCTCTGAAAAACACGCCCCAGCTGTGTACGCTGCTTTTTCTCGTCACTCGTCAGCGCGAGATGTAATTACAGCGCACCGATTCACCAATCGCATACACCCCCGCGAGTTCCAGCTTTGATTTCCACTGTTTCGAATCGCAATTAAAAAAAAAGTCACGAGATTTATCGGCGCGTTGTTTACCCTCGTGTTCGTTTTTTTTTTGTTTTTCTACGCTGCGGAATGAATAGAAACTCCCTGGGGAAGGGGTTTCCGTTCATTAGATTGGACCAGTGTTGGTTTTTTTTGTTTTCCCGTGCTTTTTGACCCGATGCAGCGCATTTTGCTCTATGGAGATGAATGGTATAGGTACAATTTTTTTTTTACGTTTACGTATATGTACTCTCTAAAACAACTTCACTCTATAAGGGTAGGAAAGAAATTATGGTGGATATACCATGTACCTGTCATCCCTATAATGAGTTGGCTGCATGCGTGACGACCACGAGAGCCAGGGACACCGACGAAACTAGGGTAACGTCCAACATCACGATTTTAGCTCGAAAATCATCATCAGCCCCCGGTCGGCTGTATAATGGAATGTGCCAGTCACACACACTCAATAAATACATAACTGGCGCGTGCACGCGTCCCTGCCTTGCGTCTGATACTATACGCATGAATAAGCGTGAGTGGGGTCCGAAATAACGACAGTTCACTTTAATTTTGCAGTAAAACTATGACGTGTATTCCGACGACAACGATAGCTCAGTGCAGAGCAACTGTTCGGTATTTCGACAGCCAATCACGAAGCAGTATAAGAAGAAAGTCAAAGTAAACTGCCTTATGATTGGCTGTCGAAATACTGAACAGTTGCTCTGCACTGAGCTATCGTTGTCGTCGGAATACACGTCATAGTTTTACTGCAAAATTAAAGTGAACTGTCGTTATTTCGGACCCCACCCCTAAGCGTCTAGATTTAAACTTACACGGAAAGAAATTGAGAGAAGCACACGGGCATTTGAGCAGAGTGTATATGTAGATGGCGCGTACTCATCCGTACAGTGTAATAATACGATTAACAAGTAAATCCATACGGAAAAACTGGCACCCAGGTAAGGGATGAGATTCCGCAGTACTGTAGTATCTAGCAGGAAAGCTATTACATTATAATATATCATATAATAATATAGAGTCCGAGTAGTTCGAAGTGCATTATTTTATACATATATACCTTGTACGGATAAGAGATAAAGTTGAAACTTGAGAAGCGACGAGGGAGAGAGAGCTCGTGGTGGTGGTGATCTACTCTCGCGCTAACTTGTCCGTGTGGTGGTGTGATGCATTAGTGCATTAATATAGAACTCGGTGATGATACTTTGTGGTGTGAAAGCAAAGTAAGTGGATTAGAAAAACTATATTTTGATGCAGGGGTATCGAGTGCGTTTTATGGTTTATCAAATGACTCATGGATTCAGATGAAAAAGGATCCATTTTTTAGGTAGGCGAGCAACGTCATGAATCAATAATCTTTACAACGTAATGAGACTCGGGTTTTTTTCGTCGTCGCTAGGAGACAAAATGTCGTGGACGCGTAAATTTTGCACACGTAATTAAAATCAACTTGATTTTTTTATCATCAAAGCGAATAAGAAAATTAGTTACTTATGTCAGTAAAGATATAAAATTGTTTTTAGGGGTTGAAGAAACAATAAATGTTACACGATACCGTCAACATATTAAATTTCCCTCGTCGTGCTCGGAGAAATACATAATAATATAAATGTAGTAGATGATGATGATGATGTTCATTTGGTACGAAACACCTCGGATTCTCGACTATCGTGAATTAAGAAATCAAAGTTTTCTACATGAATGAGATTCCACAAAAGCGTAATAATATGTACTGTAAGATTTCTTTATAAATGTGTGGGTAAATATTTCCATAGTAGGTACGTGTTTGATGATATAGCGAGGGATTATAAAGTTGTTTTAAGGTGATTTTTAGCTCAAACTGAACACACGCGCGTGCGGCGGTCGACCGAACTTTTGGGCTTTTAGTCACATTAGGTGAGAACTTTGCTCTTAAGAGTTGCTATTTTGTATGAAAAAAAAAAAAATAAAAAGAAGTATCGATACTAATTTATTAACACGATGGGTAGCCCATACAGCAGAGTCCGGTGAGTGAAAAAGCTGAGAATTCACAAAAATTTGTCAACGGTTCCATGAGTAAATAATTTCACGGCGCTTTGACCTTGAAGACTCGCGAGACATTAAGCGTATACGTGCGAAAGCGCGACGCTCCAAAAAAGGTCACGTATAGGTACATATAAGTATATAACATATGCTATACACGTTTACGGTGCCAACTTGAAATTCCACTTTTCTTTCAGCGATGCCACGAAGCGTGTCCTCGCGAGAGCTTTCCGCCAGTGCCATTGTTCAGATCCGATTCGACGAGCCGCGACTGACACATCGAAACGTGGGACAAAAATATACACTCGCCGAGCGAAAATAAAAGATTTTTGTTTCCCAAAGAAAAAGAGATTCATCGAATAAAAAACTGATCCGCTTGACGAAAAAAAAGAAGAAAAAAAATAAAAAAAGGAAATTTCAATTTTGTCCAAAGTAGTCTCGTAAATAACCCACCAGCCGCGAGAGATTTACGCGCATGGGTACACCACACACGCGTCCATGTCTGAGCCGGGAAAAGAAGCTCACACGTAGCAATAAACGAGCAAAGTACAAACCACGAAATTGCGTTTCCGTCCCATAGGTAAACGTACGAGTACTTACTTCTCCCGCGTTTCCCGGCAACTCCACCAATTCCTCTTCCCGCTGCATTTACCTTATCTCGCATAATACACATTTATATGCACACACACACGGAGGAGTCGTGGGTGTATACTTTACTTGAGACTTTTTTATGGGACAGCAAAACAGTGGATACGCTTTGCGCATATCACTAGCTTAGAACAATATTACACGTATAGTAGGTACACCCCTGCGGTTGTGCACACCATTGGACTTTGGGTGAATTACTTCTTCTGTTGTATCATTTGTCACTTTGCTAATTGATCTTTGGGGGGGGGGGGGGGGGGAAGCCAAAGGAATGTCGTAAAATTGTTCATCAAAAGCGATTAATGGAGACTAATTATTCATGAAAAAGAAAATTGCGACGTTGAATGAGCCGAATAATTACCAAACGCGTCACTTGTCTACACCTATGCGCAGAGCCTTTGTTTCCAAAACATAATATAGGCGCGAGAGCGAACGTGCCGGACAAACGACACATTCAATGTTGTCGAGGTTTTTATAATAAAAATATCACAAGGGACCGGCCGCAGCTCGTGTAAAATCGCGGTGCGCAGTAAGCGTACGATTTATCGGGCACACAGAAGTCGAAAACAAGTCGGGAGCGTATTATCAGTGAAAGTGCAAATAAAAGTAAAAACCCCACAACCGTACACAGCTTTTGCGCGAAACTATATATATATGGTACCGAAGAAGCAGAGGTGGATAAATAATTAATAAGTCGTATATGAAAAAATGGCAAAAGAAAAAACTCACAGTACAGCGGTGTCGCTCGGCAGCCTTGGCACTCGATGGAGCTTCTGGAAGACGCACCGGACGGTGCCGCTGGAGCTTACGCACGTGCACCTCGCCGGGCACCCGGTACTCGTGCCGTTGGCCAACGACGCACCGGCGACCTGCACCGCCAGCGCGATCGCCAGTACCACCGATCCCATCCTCGTGGTATCCCTGTACATCTCTGGAACAAAAGATCTATCCCCCTTCCCTCTTCTGGTGTACACCCCCTACACCCGATAAATGGCACGAATGAGGGGACAAAAAAAATGGGAAAGATTCGTGGCTACATAGCGAGAGGGAGTTAATTTTATCGCGTACGAGGTATCGATTGTATGTATAATAATATGCGAAGCGAGAGAGGGTGACAAAACGTTATATACGTGGGTATAAGTGTTGCCGGTGGCTCGTCACCAACGATACTGCCGCCGCGCCGATGCTGCGGTACCGCGAGGACCCATCTCCCGCGGAAAGAGATATATATATATAGGTATGTACATACACCTATACGTTTTACGCGCGCGCGAGAGAGAATACAACCGGAGGAGGGACTCTCTCTCTTTCTTTTACCGTGTATTTCTTCATTTTTGATGATATGAGACCGAGACTTTGCTCTTCTTCCTCGTCAAATTCTTGGAGGGGCTCTTTCGGCCGGTGTGGAAGGTATTGTACACACCTTTGTGCCTCCAAACGCCCGTGGAGAGGATCGAAAAAACGAGAAAAAAAAAAAACCTATGCGACCTTTCTTTTTTTTTTTTTTCTACCTCCCCCTCGATTTCGGAGGAGTGCGCGCACAAGCTGTTGCCGTATGGTTTATAGGTGGGCACGCTTCGCTTCCTCGCCCCGTGAAGTATATTGCGGACCAGAGTATAATTATATATATATGTACGGGTGATCGCGAGGATTATTAAACCATTTTTCGTGTACGGTGATGCCGAAGGACCGACAGATCGGAGGGCATGGCACTTTAATTTTTACCGATTGACAAGAGAAAAGCGCGTTTAAACCGAGGGTCGACACGTAAGGCCTGCCCTTCTAGCGGATGGGGTGGCGAGGGTAGTGCGATCGACCAACTGTTTCTTCCAATAATTCGCGCTCCCTTCGTTTTTACAGGTTTTTACACCCGGCGCGTCTCGAAGGGCTGCTCTTTACGTCACAAGCGCGCGAGTGCGACGGAGATAAGCCGCGTCGTTCGGGAAATTATTGCAAATTATCCCCCGACATGTCCGAGATAGCGGCGTGTCCGGAATAATTTAAAGGGCCTTCCGTCCTCCGTTGGATGTATTATATCATGCCCACGTATATAGGTACAACATTGTGCGGCTGGATATATAATACGTATACGCATTATACGCGCTATACAACGAGACGTCGAGAGTGAATCGCGTAACACAATTTATGCTAATTGAAGTTTCAAGTTTGGACTGCGTGAGTTCCGGAGTTGGAATACAATTATTTTGGCCTTTTGAGAGTTTGCGCTTCGGAATATTCCGGAGTTGAGAAATTCCGGGCTCGGGTGATTGTACTTGGGACGTTTGGGTATCGGTTTTGTGGGGAAAAAAAAGTCCTTTGGTATATTGGTACCAAGTTAGATTGATGTTCGAGTTGCTGGACCCCCCCGGATAATATACTTGCAGATAACTAAGTTCGTCTCTACGCAATAAATGTACCAAATGTATTGGCAACTAATCCTTTTTCAAAATAATATATAATTTCGCCAACTTTTCTTTTAACAAGGCTGCAATATGTACATATCATCCTTCATCTCAAATACAAGCAGATAACTGTTACCTGTGGTCCGATTAGAAATGCTTTTTAGTTTCAAACCGCGAAAGTGCACGTTGGTGTTTGCGTACTTTGATTCATAATTTATTGTCATCCCTGCCTACAATACACGTAAATGAATCAATTTCATTACTTTTGTATCCAAGATAAAATAAATTGTCATAAATAGTATACTGTGAAATACAACCACGATACACATCGAGCCATTGTACAAGCGTCCAGCGTACAAAGTAGAAAAAAAAAAAATATTAGAAAGTTCTGTATCGGCATATTAGTCGGAAAAAAAAAAATTAATGTCCCTAAAACAGCGTGCCATTTTTACCCATCGAACTGGCGAGTTGAGCGTCTAAAAATGACACCCGGTCGCCGTATGGTAAGATATAAATTAACTTTCCTCGATATCCTTTTCCCCCCGTTGAAGAGGAAGAAGAAAAAAAATGTCCCTCATCCCAACTATTTCCATCGTCACACGTACGTTATACGAGTGCATATCATGCATTCAGTCAACATTGCATTTCGTTTTGCTATAAAAGAGCCGACATATACATGTACAGGGGGGAGTGTCGGTGGTTAACGAAGCAAAGTTCGCGTGGCGACATGTATAAAGCTCGACGTAGGCTGCGGGCTACAGATGCGCGTGGGAGTACACACCCATGGTATATGCGTACATGACCGTATATACCCACTGAGATGTTGACCCGATTCGGGGAGGCTTGCATGTGCAGGTATCCGTACAGATAAAGTGTAGATAGAGCTCGGAGTCCTCGGGGGAGGATTAAATTGACGTGTATATGTATTCTACCGGCGGCGATGTGCTTTTAACACAGATGCGTTTCGTCATCGGTTGGTTGGCAGAATTTCGTTGGTTTCAAAGAAATGTACAAACTGGACATTACGTCGAGGACAGTTATTTTGAGCTCAATAAAATAGATGATACCCAACGATGGAGAAAGACCCCTCAATCAATTGGACATCAAATCCGTAGAGTCAAAGCGTCAAACGAATAAATAAAACACTTAATTTGCGATGTGGATTAAACGCGCGAGAGGTCGATGGGTTTCAACATTATTTTCACTCGAAGTGTTCGAGTGTAATATACGTATATATTTGTTGCCATGGGGACTCGATAATAATTCATTGGTCAATTATGTTGTAGGTGCATCATTTTTTTTTTTTTTTATTTACATTGCGTACGTACCAGGGCATTTTTTTCCTCTTTGCATGTCGATCCAACCGAACTATCTATAGCTTTTGTAGTGAAAAAAAAAAAAAACAAAGTCCACCAAGGAAATACTTTCACGATAAAAACCGGTGGACGTGCATGACGAGTAAAAGCGCACCGAGTTATTTTAGCCGCTCGGGCCGTGACCGGCTCACCACGGGAGTTTTAGAGTAATGGGTATTTAGCCTCTCTCGGCCTCTCGGCAGTCCGGCAGCAAAGACTCACAGAAGCGGAGAGTAAAATCCTCGGGATAATCACTTGGAATTCAATATTTACGACCTTCTCCATTATAATCACGCGCAGTGCGTCGCACACTCGTGGGGTAATAAAACGTACATTAGTTTCTGTACGCACTCAAAACATAAATATATGAGGTTTCACAATACAAAGCTATTATGAGTTTTAGTCACGAACAACATACGGGAGTCTGTGATGAAAAATATTTAAAAAGTTATAACTAATTGGAGAAAGTATCGCAAAAGTCATCAAAAAATCAAACCCATTTATCTGCGGGTCGAATAAAAAACTAATCACAATAAAAATTGTTACTTATGACTAGAAATTCGTATTTTTCATAAAATCAGCTTCATTGACGCATAACTAATCATATCGTATTCAGACGAAGCAAAAAAAAAAAAAAAAAAAACTACATGGTTTAACACCGCAAATAGCTGAATTTGGTGAAAATAAGCACGTGGTAGTGCTCAGTATATACTTAGGCTTTTATCACACAGATGGTGTGTTATAACGGAAACAAAGAACTTTGTGCGGTACACCGACACATAGTTCGCGCTAAACTTATATTTCGCGTGTAGTTTTGATACATGTGGCTTTGCGAACTTCTGTGCACAGGTAAGGTTTTAAGCCAAGTTGCGCTCGGTTTTGGAGAATCAAACGAGAAACGTCGATAATTTTTATCAATGTTGGCTGTCCTAAGATACTTTTTTTTTTTTTTTTTTTTTTTCTATTTGTACTGGCTTTCGACAAGCACGTATAATCGGTGTCTCGAGATGATGTTTATTGATCATGTAAGTACCAGACATCACGAGCGAACATAGAAGTTATTGTGCAAATCGCGTTGTTGCATCGAAAAGGCCGCGTACACGATTGTATCTCTTTTGTTTGTTGTGCTGAAAGAGTAAAAAAAAAAAAAAAAGAAAAAAGAAAAAAATAATAACTGGTTTCTCGTAGGCATTACGCAAATGCGTCTCGCCGATGTGGAAGAACAAGAGGGTGATCGAAGATCTGTAAGATATTAGCGAATAACAATGAGCTACACGACTCCGTCGTCGTCGTTTCGTGGGGACTATAATTTATATACTCTCTTGCGAGAAATCGTGAGTAGTTTTTTATAGATTTCAGTCCGATAACGCTTTCTTTGGCGAGTAATTTGCGATTCAACTCTCATTGTGCGGTGTACTATTGTGCCCAACGAACACGAACGATTAATATATTGTCATCAACAATTAAAAATAAAACAAATTTCTCCTTATGCATACAAAAGTGCATATAGACGATAGCACAGATTCCGAGACGTGTCCTCCAAAGCTGCCTGTGTTCGATATGGGTGACGTCACGTAGGCCATTTTCGGCAAAATACACTTTCAGAGTTCAAGAGCAGGCGTTATCATATTGTTTTTGTGTTTTTACACCAAATGTATTTCAAGCCTCAAGAGAAAAAAGTCGAGAGACGAATAAGATCCACTCCTGGTACAAATGCGTATAAGTGTATATACGAAAGGAAAAGTGCAGTCAGGCGGCTTCTTTTGTTTTCCTTGTTTCCTCTTGAGCGAGTGTCGAGGAGACCCCAAAATCCGTACTCCTGTTGTTACAAAAAGACTCGGAGTAGTTCGATATGGAAACGAATGTAAATCGAGGCCGCTTTTACGGGGTACACCGATGGAATTGCTCCCGCAGACCGTGAATTTCCAGCCTCGCCTAAATACAAAAATACCCTCAAGTTTATTCGAACTGGAACGCTATACCTGCACGTTGTCGTCGATCGTTAGACTTGCAAAGCCCGCGCGTCGAGTATATAGAAAGTGCGCGCACTCGTACACCCGATGTATTATACTATGTACCGTCAATAATTTATACATGCGCGATGAAAGGAAAAAATGTAAACAAACAGCTTTCGATGCGCACGCGAGCAAAATAAAAAAAAGTACATGCCAAATCGTACGTTGATTCTTTCACGTGAATCATCGTGCTAACGTTGGTCGTTAAATTTAGGTGTATGTATACGAGCGAACCCTCGCGTGTTGGGTCTTTCTTTGTCCGGTAATTTTTCGTCGATCGACTTTTAACGATGATTTGTCTGCTGGCTCTCCCAACGAATAAACTGTGAATGGTAAGCAAAAATTCTGGCTAAACTGCGCGTGCTCGAATTGTACAAACAAATGGAGGAATGAGACTTCCTCGCACATCAGCTGTTAACAATCATAATTGGTATTATTATTTGAGGCACAATTTTTTAAATCGATAACCGCCCGATAAAAGCGATTAAATACTCATCAACGATGCAGCAACGGGATACTTTTGCATGTCGCGCGGGATACACGAGAAACGAGAGTGACGTTGCGAAATCTGAGATTTACGCGCTCCGAGCCTATGTCAGCCGGATTTGGAGGCACGTGCGTGTGGTAAAACTATCGTAGACACAGCTCTCGGCTTGATCAAAGCTGAGCTCCGTTTCATTGCCCTCTGCGCGTTTGTTATGCTTTTGGGGTATGTATACGAAAATAAAATGTGAAACTTTTGTACACCTTTTCGACCAAAGGCACGACTTTTTTTTTTTCGATTAGACTTAAGAGACAATAATACTTGATATTTAGTTAATACTGGTATGTGGCAGTCACAATAAAAATTTAATTAAGTACATTTTATTGGATTTGGTTTTAAGGATTATGATCTTACAATAATTATGATGAGAAGCGCTGTTTAATTTTGTTTACTTTTCAATATTAATTTATTGAAATCAAGTTTAAGATTCACTCATATACATTTCTACCACGTATTCACAACTAAGAGTCTTAAATTGACCAAGTGGTGCAAAGGTTACTTATTTCTATGGACATGTATATTAAAGACGCTTACCTTTTGTTGTACAACAATTATACATTTTTTTTCTAGTAATTTTCTTTATATACACTCGTTAATTGAACGCAAAGTTGATAATATGTACAGTCCGACCCTCGTGCCGAGACAAGAGAAACGCATACTACTCGTAAGACATACAAACTTCTTTTGTTCTTTTTTTTTTTTTCTAGCAGTTATAACGAATGTAACTACGTTTTTCTTCTACAATTATTATTTATCAATTTTAAAGATTAATTTTTACACATGATTAAATTTATAATTTGTATAAAAAAAAAA